CTCTAAATCCAGGAAATTCTTTTGCAATAAGAGAAACTAAAGTCGTTGCATCATATTTTGATTCTTCTAATAAATTTAACGCCTTTTGGTTAAATCTATTACACAAAACTTCACCTACTTCTCTCATCAATCGAGTTCTTTCTTCAATATTTGAAATAACACGATTTTCATAAACTAAGTATTCAGCGAGTAAGCAACTGGATATATTTTTCATTTGGTTAGGTTCAAAAACTTCAGGATGGTCTTGTTCAAGATGTGACAATCCTTTTGTTAAATCATCATATTCAAATCCTTCAGTTGGCCAAAAACAAAAGTTTAGTGCATCTACAACTAAAATATATCTTAGTCGTGATTCAATATCATTAGGTGCTTGGTGAATACTCTCATCAAAGGTTTCTGCTTCAATCCTTTCTAGTAATGGAATTATTTTTTCTTTTAGTTTTATTTGATTAACCTTGACATGTTTTGCATGTTGCTCTATATAGTCAACACTCCAACGAACGTATTCACACATATTAATTTCCTTGAAATATACTTTTAAGTTTGTTATTTATTTTTTTTCATTTTTAATTTTTTAAATTTCTTTGAAAATTAATTTTATAATAGAAACAAATTTTTAAAGATATTGGTGCATACCTTCTGGACCGAAAAAGATTGAATTATAGGTGTGTTTGTAATGTGAATTTTTTTCTAGGTCACAACTTTGTTTTATCAGATTTATTATTCAATAAAATATTATTACTATTATACTGTTTTTTTATATTTTTTATTCTTTCAATTATTTTTTGTGAAATTTCTTCTATTCTCAACCTTATACCAATACCCTTTATTGTTTGTTCCTGTGGAGGTTATCGACACCCTTACTTAATTCTCAATAAACTTTTAAGCATTAAATTTTGAATTTAAAAAGTTAATTTATTAGTACAAAAAGTTCAAATAATATACACAATTAGCTAATTAGAGTTTAAATTCCCTTCTTCACTTTGCTAAGTTGAGAATACATCCATCTTCCATTTTTACAATAGTCTTGTTCGTAAAGTACTTCTATGTCTTGAATTTTATTTCCATACCTCTACAATATTTCATTAAATTTTTTTATCTTCATAACTATTACATTTCATTATTTTAAATCTTTTTTTTTAGTATTTTAACTGTTTCTTTATTAATTGTCTATTTGTTGTCATTTTATTGATATAACTTTTACTTTAGTTTATTAATCCTTCCTTCTATTAAGGATATACATGTTGTCCGTTTTGTAAAACTCCTTTTTACTTTTTCTTATTCTTCTTTGGTTCTCTCTTTTTTTTTCTTTTCTTATGACTTTTCTTAGCTTTTTAGAGCTTTTTGAATGAGTGTTATTGTTATATATGCACATTAGAATATATAGATTATGATTTATTAATAAATCAGGATTTATATAAAACTAAGTATTTTTTATATTAATTTATAAAAAATTCATTATCACCTCTTATTTATTTAAAACGGATACTGATGAATTGTTGTTTATGAAAACAAGTATTAAAGAATCAATTTATGTCAATAATTTAATTCTTCGTCCTTTGTATCATTTTAAATCTATTTTTTAGTTTATGTTCCACTGAATAATTATGATATTTAATTCTCACAAAAATATATAAAAAATTAGTAATTTAAAAGAAATAAAAAATAAACTTAAAAAAAAAAAAAGAAATGGGTCTAAGTGATTCAGTGTTCCTCTGTATTCAAAGACATTTATTCTTATCTTTTTTAATACCTCAACTATTCTTAATAGGATATGTATCATATAATAAAAATAGCTTTGATGAGTGTTATACTGATCGTACAGTAGCTCAAAGAAAAGGAATTTCATCACTGTTTGACCCTTACAATTTTACTTTG